TATTATAATTAATTGTTAAATTAGAGACCCTGTGTTTGGTTTTATACTTTCACTCATCTTAGTTGTACTCTTTGTCTAAATCATTCAATTTTCTTTCTTTCTTTCTTTTTGTTTTTTTTTCTTTTTTGAGACAGAGTCTCACTTTGATGCCAAGGCTAGAGTGAGTACCGTGGCGTCAGCCTAGCTCACAGCAACCTCAAACTCCTGGGCTCAAGAAGCAATCCTGCCTCAGCCTCCCAAGTAGCTGGGACTACAGGCAATCGCAACCATGCCTGGCTAATTTTTTTCTATATATATTAGTTGGGCAATTAATTTCTTTCTATTTATAGTAAAGACGGGGTCTCACTCTTGCTTAGGCTGGTTTCGAACTCCTGACCTCGAGCAATCTGCCCATCTCGGCCTCCCAGAGTGCTAGGATTACAGGCGTGAGCCCCACCACGGCCGGCCTCATTCATTTTCTTATGCACTGTCTTTATCATCTTACGGGCTCTAAGATACCTTGTTATATCATTCTACTTTATTCTGTCTTTAAAGTCTTCTGTGAAAATAGGTTAAAATAGCCCAGTCATTTTATGTTCATAGTTAACTAGCATGAACAATTTCAAGATTGAAGAGTAGCACAGATGTTAAGGATAACACTGAAGAAAAATCCTCGCCCTCACTAAAGTGGAATAGGGCAAACTATTCAACTATTCTGAACTATGTTCAACTATTTATGCTGTAATATAAGCTTCTAGAAATGTGGGGTTGGCATTGCATGCCGCAGTGCCAATTCTTTGCAGAAAACCTTGTTTCCTCTTCAGACCATCAATATTTGTTTTACACAGCTTTGAGTTTTATGAATAGTAAAATTTTTACATTATTTGAGTATTCTCTAGAGATTGCCAACTTTAATTAATATTTTGCCAAATAAGAATGTTAAAAATACTATCTGCTATCACCATCATTTCATAATAGAAAAGACATTTTAAAACACACAAAAGAAGTACATAATTTCACAATAAAGGACAAGTACTTTAAATTGAATACATTTAAATTTGTGAAAAATCCAATTATGTCTTTATCTTCTCAATTGTACTTTAAATTGATTAAAAAACACACAAACTTCATCCTGGGCATATATTCTCCGTAGTTCCCAGGTTGGAGTTTGGGAATCACTGGTGTATTTATGTCTGGCACTTTTGTTGTCTGAAACACTTTCTTAGAGCAGAGGGGAGAGAGAGAAGTTACATGCTACACTACTAAAATTATTCTTTTTTGCAAGTTATTAAATGAAAGAACTTCAAAAATATCCCAAAATTTGATGTTGCAGTGAGCTGTGATCATTCCACTGAATACTCTGTCTCAAAAAACAAAACCCCCAAATATCCCAAAAGCCTTGCCATAGTCTAGTGTGAATGAAATTGTGTGGTGTGTTATTGATCAGAGTATCAAATGAAGATGCTTTGTTCATGTGTTTTATACTACTGTTGACTTTATACAGTCTTTCCAAATGATTCTAGGAATGCTGCAAATTCCATGGTTATTTGAAATTTGTTTTTCCAATTTTGACATTCTGAAATTGTTAATTGTGACCATTAGCCATGAAGTCTGATATTCAAACGTTGGCTTTCTGAGGATTGGTGGGGAGAGGGACATGTATGAGTTTTAAAATTATTTTAGAGTTTCAGATATTACCTGGAAAATTTCAAATAATTTCATTCAAATTAAATCCTAAATCTAGTTTGAGTTTGAAGAATATAAACATGTTTCCTGTGGTTAATACCAGTTTCTGAGAAAAGCATGGCATATGCTTTTATACACTGAGTTACTGAAAGAGCCTTGGGAATAGGGAGTTATAAATCACTGATAAAAACAGTTCTAAAGTTATATAGGAGAATGGTCCATGCTTTTGAAATTTCTTCTTTGAAAATATATAACTTAAAGTATTTAAATGTGATAGCACATGTCCATATATCTAGAGAATTAAATTAGGTATTCTTTACTTGCCAGTGAGAAGATAATTTATGATTAAGAATTCACTGTTTTACTTAATTTGAATTTATTGAGGATTCTAATTTGTGTTGAATATTGTTCTAAAAACTGGGGATCTAGCAAGGATTTAGATATATCTCTGCCCTCGTAGAGTTTGTGTTCCAGTGAGCAAGTTGGACACTACATAAGTAAAGAAGGAATTGTGATATTAAATAAAAAGGTGCTTTGGTAAAGACAAATGATTGTGGGGGGCTAAGGAGGAGGAAAGGCTCCTTTTAAATAGGATGGTTCATGCAGTTTGTCTTGATTAGGTGACTTTTTAGTCCAGAAAGATAGGATAGAGGTTGTAGGAAGCACAGAGAACAGTGGCTTTGAGGTAGCAAAGAACTTAGTGTATACTTGGAACTGTTGGAAAGTCAACTTGAATGGAGCATAGTGAACTTAAGGAGAAGGGAACACTCCCCTAGTAAATGTTTGCTTAATGAATGAAAGAATGAGTGAGTGTAAGGTTTTTACAGCCTTAATTCTGGCAAGTCCTTATGGCAGACTAAAAGAAAGAAATGACAAGTGATATCATTGGGGATGATGGGCCAACTGGTCAACTCATACTTCAGTTGGGTGCCCAAATTTTAGGTTCCATGTTTCCATGCCAAGAAATATTTCATCAGTACATCAACAGTGGATTAATCCCTTGAGGAGGAGCTTTTTCTAACCAAACACACGAGGGACTAATGTGTAATTCCGAATGCTGATCAATTTACATTGAGGTCTTTTTTTCTAATGACCCAACTACCACATTAATGTGTGCTGAATGGAATATTCCCTTTTCCAGCATTCGGGCACTGGGAAATTGAGTTAGTAATCAGAAGCCCACCCAGTAAATTTAAAATAGGATCAAGAAGATCTTGAGGAATATTCTATATGCGTCAAGTTGAGGCTTGATGAAATATCCTTGTTCCAGAATGAAGAATATTTGAATGTTACAAATTCTTTCATTATCATTTTAGGTTAGGACTGACTTTATGTGTACTTTTAGGTCACTAGTTTTCTTTTAATAGGTTTCCTTTCTAATTATCTTCCTTCGACAGTCTTTCATTTTTGTTTTGTATGTTAATTTTTTTCTGATTATAAAATAATAGGTACATATTGTAGAGAATAACTATGTTATACAGAAAAGACGGTTGTTAATATTTTGATGCCTGTTCTTTTTTCTGTATATCTTTATAATAGAATAGGGTGCTCAGTGAGGGAAAACTTTAAAATGTAATTCTCATGCCATAAATATTTAAAGTTGACAGCAGATTGTATCAGAGGTGATAGCAAATCATCTTGGAACAGACCTTTAGTGTGCTTCAGTAAGGTCATCAAAATGCCTCTTTAGTTATAAATTTATAATACAAATGTCCTTGTATTTTTTAGTAATGTAGATCACAATACAAATAAGTCAAATGGAGATTTTATGTAATCTTTTTAATAATGTAAATGGTTCTTATTGAGGGGGTCCATCTTAGAGATTTATTTATTTAAACATTTTTTATAAGAATTTAAGACATATGCAAATGTTAAGAGACTAGTATAATGAACTTCATAGACTTTCACCCAGCATGTACTGTTCTCTCTCTACTTGTGTCATTTATATCTCCATCTATTCTGTTCTTTTACAGATTACTTTGTGGCAATCCCCAAACATCTTATCATTTTTTTCTGTAAATATTTCAGTATGTATCTTAAAAGATTAAGGATGCTAAAAAAGGACATAAAAACAACCATGATAGGATTATTATACTTGAAAAAATTGACATTGATTTCTTAATATCATTGTATAGTAAGTGCATACATTTTCCTGAACTATATTTCTCACATATAATTTGCAGTTTTATCTGGTGAATCAGCTAGAATTAGGTTTGAATTTTACTGTGTTTCCCTGTCCATATTCAATTCTTTGAAGTGATTCACTAAGCATGACCCATATTTCAGCAGAGGGGAGTGTTGGGGGAATCCACAGTTATTTTGATGTCAAATAGTTAGTTTTTTTTTTTTTTTCTGGTAATCTCCTTGGGGCTGGTGAAAAGTAGAAGATGGAAGAAAAGACTCATATCTGAGTAGGTGCTTCGGAAGAATGTAAAGAAAAAGGTGGCCAAAGGAAGCTTCTTTGGCTGATGACCTGTAGGCGCTGAGCTGTGATGCCTAATGTAAATTTTAGGTTTTCTTTTTATGTGTTATTCATGACTTTAAGGAAATTTATTAAATGCCTCCTATCTAGCATCAGCATTGCTTAGCAGAGCAAAATTGAGAAAAGTAGAGCATGTACAGCTGTAGTAGTAAACCGGCCAGTGGTTTTCAGAGAGCAGCCATAGAACAAAAAGTCATCAATGTAAAGTGACAAGTGACAGCCAAGACATATAAGCCTCTCAAAAATCCTAAAACACTCAGAAGGGAATTGAATTTTCTGTAGTAAAAGCAGAGCCTTAGTTTCTTTTAATTAGATATTAAGGAAGAAGGTGACTCCCGAAGGTTGGAGTTTAATGGTTACTCATACAAATAAATTTTCATAAAGCAAAAAGAGTATAACATTATTAATTAATTAGGGAATACAGTGTTAAAGTTTTACCACATCTCACAAAGTGACAGCATTTGGGATATAACATAGAGCCCAATAGGAAAATAGCTGTTATGACTTAAAAGACACATAACTCTTTTATGTGAATGGTTGACCACTTATTAGTTTTTATTTTTTTTGAGACAGAGTCTCACTTTGTTGCCCAGGCTAGAGTGAGTGCCATGGTGTAAGCCTAGCTCACAGCAACCTCAAACTCCTGGGCTCAAGCAATCCTTCTGTCTCAGCCTCCCAAGTAGCTGGGACTACAGGCATGCGCCACCATGCCTGGCTAATTTTTTCTATATATTAGTTGGCCAATTAATTTTTTTCTATTTACAGTAGAGACGGGGTCTCGCTCTTGCTCAGGCTGGTTTCGAACTCCTGACCTTGAGCAATCCACCTACCTCGGCCTCCCAGAGTGCTAGGATTACAGGTGGAGCCACTGCGCCTGGCCAATTATTATTTTTTTATTGCTCTTATGTTTACTCTTAGTGGTAGTGAACTACTACAAACAAAATTGCTAGGTCAAGGCCAATAGTGAGAGAATTAAGACACTTATGAGTACATACATTTAATGACTTATGAGGTTTGTTTTTTCCTCAGCTTTTATCAAATATCTTTTCTTTCCTAAAATTGGTCTTTGCATTTACTGAATTTATTTAATTATACTCCTTAGTTCATTCATGGAATATTATCATTGGTCAATGTAAAACCCTTCTTTTGTTTCATATTATATTATTACATTCCTCATCCCTACTTCTATTTCCAATTCCTCAATTCCTATTATATTTAATATATTTCTTCCATTCTATCTTATTCTTAATAAATGTGATATTGTATGTTTTAGCTTGATATAAATGGTATTGATATAAATATTTTCTTTCTTATTTTTTTAATACCATACTGTTTATGAGGCTATACATATCTCTTAACTGGACATTTAGCTTAGTAAATCTCACTTCTTTCAAGTATTTCTTTATGTTCATATTCTCCATTGGTACCATAACCAATACCACCATGAATATTTTTGTACATGTGTCCTCTTGGACCTGTGGAAGAGTTACTCTGCAGTATATAGCTAGGAGTAGGACTTCTGCGTTGTTGGACATTCCTACGCTTCATTTCTCTAAATACTAACAATATTTCTTCATAATGGCTGTAACAGTTTGTGACCATAAATACAATATTATCATTTCTCTAGAGCTTGGGTCAGTATTTGGAATTATGTGAATTAATAATTTTTCCCATTTTTTACGTGTATGAAATAGTATTTTCTTGTTTACTTTGCACTTCTCTGAATACCAGTGAGTCTGAGCATGTCATTCTAAGTATTGCAATCTAGATTTCTTCTTTTGTAAATTGTTCATGTCCTTTGTCCATTTTTACGTGGACCGTCTGGGTTTTTCTTGATTTTCATTTCAGTTATCTACTTCTAATTTGTTGTCCATCTGTTGACTTTGTATGCGGTGACTTTCCTTACATATGGATCTTTAATGTTTGTCACTTTTTCTCCTTAAGATTTGTTCTTTTTTTTTGGCTGGGTGGGGTGCAGGCAGGGGGCTCGGAGCGCGCCCTGGACTCATCCCCACTTCAATCCCCACCCGATGTCCTGGCATGTCCAAACCACCACCCCCACCCTCAGGGATCCCTTCGCACTCAGCTACACCGTCCGCTTCCTGACTGGGGCCAAGGCCTTCGTGGCGTGGCGTCTGTGGGAAGGACGCCACACTCAGCTGCCAGATCGTGGGCAGCCCCACGCCGCTGCAGGTGAGCTGGAAGAAGGGCTAGCTGCCGGAGGAGGCGGGCGCGCGCTTCTGCCTGGCCCAGGCCCGCGACCTGAACCGCCTCCCTGTCCCGGACCTAGCGCTGGGCGACGTTGGCAAAACACATGCGGCGCGCGACGTCATGGGGCGGTGGACGCCGAGCGCGCATGCGCAGAGTAGGCCCTACACTTCCTGCTACGCCCTGCGTCACCACATGCGCCCAGGCTCCAGGCCACGTGTCGCGGCCGTCTGGGCGTCCCTCTGAGCCAGGACGGACGGGTTCTGTGAGCCTGGCGTCCCGCTTGCGCCTGTGGGCAAGGTTCGATCTTTTAGAGTGTTCCCTAAGAAATAGTTCTCCACCTCAAGGTCATGGATAGTCTCCTACGTAAGTTTTTATTAGCTTTTCATTTTTATTTTGCCCTTCATGTTTTGGTTTTTAATACATTTGGAGTCCACATCTGGAGATTATGTGAGGTAAGGATCCGGCTTAATGAAAAATTAAGAGTAGCGTGCACCCATTTTCCCATCTCCATGTGCTGTTTGCTCACTGAATTGTCATGACACCTCTGCCACGCCCCAGGTTTTCATATACAGATGCGTCTGTTTCCAGTCTTTTAAATTCTGTTCCATTAGTCTTTGATCCTATGCCACTGTTTTTCAAAGAATGGTTTTGTACTGTCTTAATTTTTTATAATGTCTCTTAGTTTAATCGAGATTATCCTGGGTTTTCTGTGTGTATCATCAAGTCACCTTCAGTAATGAACACTTATCTCTTTTAATTGTTTCTTGCCTTATTATATTAGCCAGAATGTCATATAGTATGTTGAACAGTAGCTGTGGTGGTGGCATTTTTATATTATCAACCTTAAATACATCAAAAGTTTCTCCATTATTATAATGTTTGCTCTAGGGCATTAATAGCCTTAAAGAAGTTGAAAAAGTTCTATCCCTAGTTATTTATTTAAAAAATCATAATTGAATGTTGAACTTTATCAAATGCCTTTCTTCTATCTGTTGAGGTAATCATGTATTTTCTTTAATCCATTCCTGTGCTGAAATATGTTAATAGATTTTATGATATTAAATTATCTTTGCATTTCTAGAATAAACTGTAATAAGTATCATTAGGGTTATTTTTTTTAAATACTCAGGTGGATTCTGTTAGCTGATATTTAGGGAGTTTCCTTCTACGTTTGTTAGTGAAATTGCCCTATAATTTTTTTTTCTATATTGTCCTCATCTTACTGTTTTTAAGATTTGTGTCAACCTGAAAAATGAATTGAGCAGTTTTCACTATTTTTCTAATTTTTGGTAAACTTATATAACAGAAATGATCTGCTCTAGTTCAGTGGGACTCCCCTGTAAGACCACTTGGGCAAACACTTTTTTTAAAATAGATTTTTTTATTACTTTTTAAATTTTTTAACCATTATTGGCTTATTCATGCTTTCTATTTTACATTGTGCTAATTTTGTTGTTAATATGTTTTCCCATTCTATTCATTGTTGGCTTTCAAAAATATTTGGATATAATTTTTTATAGTAGATCTTTACTTCTAAAATGTTTCTTTTAGCTATAATTTGTTTCTTTTATTATGTATATTTTGTTTATTTGCATTTTATTATTATTTTGTTGAACTGTTCTTTCCTGAGGTTGTATCTAATAGTTTTTTTAAAGAATCTGCTTCTGGTGGTATTAACCTTTTCCCTTACCATTTAATTATTTTTTATTGAGTCTACTCTTTATTGTTTTCTTCCTTTTTGTTTCTTTGGGTGTACTCCCTTATGTCTTCAGGTGTGCTTATTTTTCAACTTTGCCTATATTCTAATAAATATATTGAGAGCCACAGATTTCCCTAACAAACTTGTCCTAATGAGTATACAAATAGAACACTGTTCCCAACAACTCTAAGATAAACCTTTTTTTAGTCACACAATAGTCAATTGTTAGAAGACTCGAATCATTCGAGAATGTTATGAAAACAATGCAATTAAGCTGTGAATTAATAACTCAAGAGTAATTGGAAAAATTTTACATAGTTTCAAATAATTTAGGTCACAGAAAAATTCAGGTAAAAATTAGAAAATAGGCCGGACACGGTGGCTCATACCTATAATCCTAGCACTCTGAGAGGCTGAGGCTGGAGGATTCCTTGAGCTCAGGAGTTTGAGACCAGTCTGAGCAAGAGCAAGACCCTGTCTCTACTAAAAATAGAAAAAATTAGCTGGGTGTGGTGGTGCATGCCTGTAGTCCCAGCTACTTGGGAGGCAGAGGCAGTTGCATTGCTTGAGCCCAGGAGTTTGAGGTTGCTGTGAGCTAACCTGATGCCATGACACTCTAGCCAGGGCAACAGAGGAACACTCTTGTTTCAAAAAAAAAAAAAAATTAGAAAATATTTGAAACTGAAGAGTCATAGAAACATTACAGGTGAAAAATTTTATAGTGCAGCTAACCAGTACTTTGAAGGAAAATCATAGCTGTAAGTCATTAGGACAGAATAAAGGTGAAGAGAATAATAAAGTTATGAGAAAAAAGTGAAATAAAAAATGAATATTCAGTAGAGAATATTGAGTATAGTATCAAGTAAGTTAAAACGAATAATAAAACTCACAAACTTTTGGCAAGATGGTTCAAGAAAAAAGAAGACCTATAAGCAATATCAGGAATGAAAAGACTCAGGATGCTATAAACAGGGAAAAGATAAGAAAATAATATGAGCAATATATAACCTGGGGATACACATTGATGCAGCCATTTTATGAAACAGTTTGGGATTATCTTCATAGATAAACATTTTTATAGTTGTCTGCTGAGCATTTCCACTCTAGGTTCAGGAGAAACTTATATACTAGGAGAAATGCACAAAAAGTTCCCAGCAGCATTACATGTTAAAGCAAAATCCTGAAAACAATCTGGATGCCCATGCCCATGCCCATGGACAGGAGAATGGATAAATAAAGCATATTCTCAATGTTATGTGGCTATCAAAATGATTGAACTACATCCAAATGCAAAAATTCTGCTACATAAAATTGAATAAAATCATTATTAGGTTGGTGCAAAAGTAATTGCGGTTTTAGCATTGTTAAAATTTGCTATTTGATATTGGAATACATTCTTAGATGTGGTTACCTTATACATAATTTCAGTGTGCATTTCTCGCTTTGTGTTTTTTTGCTAATGACTTATTACTTGCTGTTTATATTTATTTTAGAGTATGGAAATGATGTTAGATAAAAAGCAAATTCGAGCGATTTTCTTATTCAAGTTCAAAATGGGTTGTAAAGCAGCAGGTACAACTTGCAACATCAACAATGCATTTGGCCCAGGAACTGCTAAGAAACGTACAGTGCAGTGGTGGTTCAAGAAGTTTTGCAAAGGAGATGAGAGCCTTGAAGATGAGGAGTGCAGTGGCCGGCCACTGGAAGTTGACAATGAGCAGCAGTCATTGAGAGCAATCATCGAAGCTGATCCTCTACAACTACACGAGAAGTTGCAGAAGAATTCAATATCAACCATTCATTCAGCATTTGAAGCAAATTGGAAAGGTGAAAAAGCTCTATAAGTGGATGCCTCATGAGCTGACTGAAAATCCAAAAAATCATCATTTTGAAGTGTCGTCTTCTCTTCTCGTACACAACAACAACAAACCATTTCTTGATGGGATTGAGATATGTGATGAAAAGTGGATTTTACATGATAACCTGAGACAACAATCTCAGTGGCTGGACTGAGAAGAGGCTCCAAAGCACTCCCCAAAGCCAAACTTGCACCAAAAAAGGGTCGTGTTCACTATTGGGTGGTCTATTGCTAGTCTAATCCACTACGTCTTTCTGAATCTTGGCAAAACCATTACATCTGAGAAGTGTGCTCAGCAAATCGATGAGATGCACTGAAAACTACAACACCTGCAACTGGCCTTGGTCAATAAAAAGGGCCCAATTCTTCTCCACAACAATGCCTGAACACACATTGCACAACTAACCACACAACCAACGCTTCCAAAGTTGAACTCATTGGGCTATGAAGTTTTGTCTCATCCGTCATACTCATCTGACTTCTTGCCAACTGACTACCACTTCTTCAAGCATCTCAACAACTTTTTGCAGGGAAAACACTTCCACAACTAGCAGGATGAAGAAAATGCTTTCTAGGAGTTCGTTGAATTCTAAAGCACAGATTTTTATGTTATAGGAATAAACTTGTTTCTTGTTGGCAAAAATGTGTTGATTGTAATAGTTCCTATTTTGATTAAGAAAGATGTGTTGGAGCCTAGTTATAGTGACTTAAAATTCATGGTCTGAAACTGCAACTACTTTTGCACCAAACTAAGTTCCAAAAGTTTAAATGTACTTAAATTCTCAAAGTTAGAGTAACTTAAATTAAGCAATATATTTTTTAGGAATATGTGTGTGTGTGTAGAGATATGTACCAGAAATGATTACAAGATTCAGGAAATATTTCCAGTGAAGGGAGGTGGGGAGATGGCATGGAGGAATATCACATAGTTATATAAAAATGTCAGTTTTCTAGTTTCCACGTTGGTTCACAGTATTTATCTTATTATTAAAAAAATAAAAGATGGCTTGTATGAGCCAATGATCAGAGTGTTATGAATCAAGGATTTTGAGCTCAAACATTAAAATATCAAATAATTTATATTAACATAGTAAGGGAGAAAGTCGTATGATCATCTTAATAGATGCAGAATATCACTTGTTAGAAGTCAACATCCATTCATGATTAAAGGAAAAAAGAAAACAAACTAGGAATACAAGACAATTTACTTAAACCTGGCAAAGGATATTTACAGACAACAGTACTACAGACATCAAACATCATTCTAAATGGTGAAAGTTCAAAGCATTCCCGAGACTGGGAACTTGTCAAGGATGCTCACTACCAATTCTATTGATCATCATGCTGGATCTAGCCAACATAGTAAGTCAATAGAAAGAAATAAAAGATGTTACGATTGGGAGGCAAGTAATGAAACTCATTATCCATAGATGATTTGATTATGTATATGGAAAACCCAAAAGAATGTACAAAATGTTTTTTAGAAATAAGAATTTAGCAAGTTAATTGGATATAAAACCCACTATAGTCTACAACTTCTAATGGTTCAACTTACAATTTTTCAGTTTTACAGTGGATTTGTTGGAGCATTAAATGCATTTCTGACATAATAAAGTTACAATGGGTTTATCAGGACATAACTCTTATCATAATTTGAGGAGCATCTGAATACAAAAATCAGTTAAAAATGAAAACTTAAAAACATACCATTTACAATATCATAGAAAAATATGAAATACATAGGAATAAGTTTAACAAAAGCTGCACATGTGGGCACACATTCACAGAGCACAATGGAAATGATTGATTAATTTAATTGCATTAAAATGAAGAATTTCTTTTCTCTGAATCTAATATAAAGAAGACACAAGGCCGGTGTGATGTGCATTTTTAGTCCCAGCTACTGGGGAGGCTGAGACGAGGATTGCTTGTGCCGAGTTTGAGGTTGTGGTGAGCTATGATCCTATGATTGCGCCACTGCCCTCCAGTTTGTCAGCCTGCATGACAGAGCAAGACCCCATCTCTTAAAAAAAAAAGCCACAAACTAGGTGAAGATAATTGCAAATCATATAATTGACAAAAACTGATACCCAACGTACATAAAGAATGCCTACCAAAAAACAAACAAAAAAAGAAACCTAGAAACCTAGTAGACAAATGGAGACAGTGTGAGAACGGGTATTTCATAAAAGAGAAAACTTGAATGTCCAATAAATATTAATAGAAAAAATGTTCACCTCACTATTAGGAAATTTATGTTTAGACTACAAGAAACTTTCCCATCAGATTGGCAATTATAGGATCTGATAACACCTGGGGATAAGTGTGTGACCGTCTCAAGCACTTACTGGTGAAAATGTAAATTACTTCAGCCATTAGGTCATTAAATATGAAATGTCCGATATCAAATCAAAAGTTCATTTTATCACAAACCAGAGGGAGTACAATTAATAAAAGTATGTCCCTAAACTAGCGACACAGTTTTGCCATCTTAACGGTAGCTTGCCAGCAGCAAAGAAGCTTGGAGAGCCAATGGCTATGAAATTGTGAAAGGCATTTTCTATAACTTGTTGAGAATTGAATATTTTTCCTTGCAAGAAGTGGTCCAAAGCCTAGAAGAAATGGTAGTCAGTTGGTGCAAGGTCTGGTGAATGTGGTGAGTGACAGAGTTTCCACGTCCAGCCTCTGTAGTTTGAGCAGTGTTGTTTTTTGCAGCATGTCGTCTTGCAAGAGGATTGGCCTGTCTCTATTGACCAATCTTGGCTGCCTAATCACAGGCATCCTCATCATTTGGTTCAATTGGTACAGGTGGAGTACACATCAGCTCTAATCGACTGACCAGGTTTTGTGAGGCTGTAGTGGATAATGCCAGCGCTGGACCACCAAACAGACACCATTCGCTTTTTTTTGATGAATATTCGGTTTTGGACTGTGTTTCAGCACTTCATCTTTATCCAACTGTTGTACTGAATGCTTGTGGTTGTCAAAAATAATCCATTTTTCATCACACATAACAAAACGGTATAGAAATGATTCGCTTTTATGTTGTGACAGCAAAGAAAGGCAAGCTTCGAGACGATTTCTCTTCAGACACTTGTTTAATTCATGTGGTATCCATCTATGCAGCTTCTTTACCTTGACAATTTGTTTTAAATGGTCCATTATTGTTGGAATAGTAACATCAAACCTTGCTGCTAATTCACACGTGGGTTGAGATGGATTCACTTTCAGCTGCAGCTTTCAGCTCATCATTGTCCACCTTGGTCTCAGATCACCCACATGGCTCAAGATTAGAATCACCAGAATGGAACTTATCAAACCATCGACATACTGTGTGTTTATTAACTGTATCCTTCCCAAACACTTTGTTGATATTTTGAGCTGTCTTCACTGCATTGGTTCCACGATGAAACTCATATTTGAAAATAACACAGATTTTTGACTTATCCATGGTTTCACAAAAATTGCTCTAAAAAAATTTGAAAGATAATCACAAGCCAAAATGTGCATTTGAAAGAATGAGGATTTACCTTCCCAATATATATATATATAAAAAACCCACAAAAGAACAAGTGTCAAAGTGAAATCTCAGAGATCTCAACTGTCAAACTTAGTACTTAAGGATATTGGACATTCGATACTTAATAACCTAATACTTCAGTTCAGACTATTTTGACATTAGTAAATTTAAATGTGTGGCTATCCTGAGATCCAGTGTTTCTACTTCTAGATATTTAACCTAGAGAAAGTCTTGCACGTATGCATAAGAAGATAAGTGTAAATATATTCATAGTAGCCATAAAATGAAAATAACTCAAGTATTTAATATCAGTAGAATTCATAATTAATTGTAGTGTGTTTAGATGACACTGCAGTGAAATCATCTGTAACTACGTGCAGCAACATGCATGAATTTTATAGACAATTGTTGAGCAAAGTAAGCAGGCTATTAAAGAATACATATGATTTTGTTTAAGCTAAAATAACAGACAAAACTAAGCAGTGTATTTTTAGGAATGTATACATAAATAGAACAACTGTGAAGAAGGAATGAAAGTCAAGATAGTGGCTTACCTTTGTGAGAGAGGGAGAATATGTGATTGGAACAGAAACAGAAGTTTCTAAGGTTTTGGCACTATTTTCCTGCCACTATGTTTGCCCACATGTTTGCTTTCTTTTTCTTCTTATATATACATATGTTTTATTTTCATAGGTATATATTATGTATTTTATAATAAAAATACCATTATGTAGTTCTGGCTGCTTGGAAGGCTAAGGTGGGAGGATTGCTTGAGCCCAGGAATTTGAGACCAATCTGGGCAATATAATGAGACCCAATCTCCAAAAAAATTTAAAGGTTTAAATGTGATAATGTTTGAAGACCTTAACAACTGCATGGTATATAGAAAAACACTCAACAAATGTTTATTATTATTCATTGTCTTATTATATCAAAATATATTTATATTATTATTTTATATTATTAGAGAATAATAGTTGTAGCTATATCGTACATATTTTTCAAATATTGCTTTTATTTAGCTTGAAGTCTTTTAAAAATTTCTCTCAATTTCCCTCATGCTTTTCTCTTTAAAACCAGTGTTATTTAGTAGATTTAGTTTTCAGGCATATAGGATTGTTCAGTCTCTTTCTTTTTTACAATAATAGTGCTGCATTAGACTTAGAAAATATAGTCTGTATAAAGGTAATTTTTATGAGTTATTGAATTTATTTGTAGCTTGAAATAAGAAAATGTACTTACATGAATAAAAATACCTGTATTGAGATTCCTGCAGTGAAAATAATTTTGGTGTTGCAATTCTGAAACTCTCTACTTCATTTTTCCTTTCTCTATTATAGTCTTGATCTTAATGTCTCTGTTTTTGACAACCCAAGGTTTCTTAGTACTGTAATTTTAATGATATTACAAAATAGACTATGATTTTGTGTTTATATTTATTGTTTGGTATTAATTTAGATTGCCACCAACAGTGTATGAGAGTGCCCATTTCCTTGTACCTTGGTGAGCAGTATTGTCTAACACTCAAAAATAACTTTTGGCAATTTGAAAGTAGAGATACATATATATATTTTCTGTTGTATTTATTCCTTGTAAGTAAAGTTTAACTTTTTTATACATGTACTGTCCAATTTTCATTCTTTGTGAATTGTTTATGCACTTTACTAATTGTCTATTGTCGAAGCAGTGTTTTTACTTTTTAAAAATTAATTTGTAAAACCTGTTTATATATTTAGGGTGGTATCATCTGCTGATGCAATTATTTTCTCCCCAATTTGGTATTTGCTTTTTTATTTCAGCTTACTCTTTTTATTTTTCTTCTTTTCTTCCTCTTCTTCAGGAGCAAATATTCCCAGCCTTTTCTTCTTATTTCATGTAGAGCAGTTTAGTCTTCTTTTACTGCAGGGAGAAGATGATCATTTGGCAGTGATGATGTAGCCCAGATTGCAGAATCGAGTTGGAGGTTGAAGTATGTGAGCTCTAATCCTCGCCAGTTCCGTAAGTCAATAAATAGCACATCTATTCAGACAGCTTCTGGATAGTAGATAACTGAAATATAATCTTCCTTGTAATACAATAGTGACCTCAAATTTAAGCATGTCAAGAATCTAAAAACTTCTGACTCCTTGGAAAATTTTGTCTCAAGTGAGTTCAATATACTGTGCATACTTTATCAAGTAATCCAAGGGAAAACATCTATTTATAGTGAAAGCATAGCATTGACATTTGTCAAAGGTCAGAGCTTTAGAAATTTAACTTAATAATAAACCTATAAACTGCTAGTATTTTTATATTGTGATGGTAAAAAAATTTTGCTGCTTTTCTTTTTTAGTTCCTACTAAGAGTTTCTAAGCACATTGTTTTTCTACTAAAATCCAATCTGTTCCACATTTTTGACTGAGAAAAGCTAAATCTTTTCTTTTTTGGGGGAAAAAAGGTCTTTTTTAAGGAGATCTATTCTAATCCTAAAAATATGTAGGAAAAAGGTATAGGAAATATGTAAGCCTGCACAGGCTTCCCCACATTCCCAAAACTGCTTAAGATGATCCCAAAATAGGACAGATCCTAAATAGGCTTTGGAAATGGGGAGGAGGGCCATCCACATGTCCCAATACTAGAGACCATCTGTGAACTGTAGAGCAGGAGGAGCTATGGTGAAAGAAGACATTAGAAATAGCTTGCGACTGCTTTCTGAAGACCCATCAGACTCCCAAGAAATAAGCAGAGGAAATTATGGGAGAACCCCACTAATATCCCCTCATTTAGAGGGATGAGAGCTAAAGGTGGGGATGGGCTGTGGGACAGAAGGTAAGCTCTCTGTGCAGTGAATCAGCAGCATCTGAAGCAGTGGGCTGAGAGGCCACATCAAAGTGTCATCTGTGGGCAACTGGGGCTTCTCACTGACACCACTGGGCACAGTGGCCCTAGAAAGCAGAAAGAGCCCCATACTAATCAACGCAGAACAAATGCTTATCTAGCCTTTATTATATCCCAGGCATTGTTTGCATTTAGTGGCTTTTGACTACAGGTGGTTTTGTTGTCCCCCCCTCCCCCTGACCCAGCCAGGGACATTTGGAAATGTCTGGAGACATTTTGGCTGGTTCAGGTGGGAGGGGGCTGCTACTGGCATCTAGTGGGGTAGAGACCAAGGATTCTGCTAAACATTCTAAAATGCAGAGGATAGACATCACAACAGACAATTATCAGTCCCCAAATACAGTGTCAAGATTGTAAAACCCTGTTTTAAATATTTAACAAATTTTAATGTATTTACTCCTCATAGTAAGCCCATGAAAGCTGCCCATTTTTCAAGTGAGGAAATTGAGGCAGTTAGGTAACTTGCCCAATGTCCCACATCTAATGGAGAGACCAGGTCAAAGGGAAATGTTCATGCTAGATAAATTTAGGCATTACAGAGAGGAGCTATGGCATTACTACGAGCCTAAGTAAAATTTAAGGTAAAATGATTTATAGAGAGGATACTTTTTTAATGGAAAAGTATAATTCACAATGAAAATATTTTAGTTACAAAACTTTGGACACTAAATAATATAACCTTGAAATATATAAAGCAAAAACTTTTAGACATATAAGGAATAATTTAAATACAGTAGTAATTTTTTTAAAAATAGCCTTACATGTCTTCAATTTTGGATTTTGCTCTGGCTGATCTTGAACTCCTGAGCTCAAACGATCCACCTGACTTGGCCTCCCAGAGTGCTAGGATTACAGGCGTGAGCCATCATGCCCAGCCATAAAGACTTTTCTTGTCTTCTCAGGGCAGGCACATGGGTGTCATTCTATCATAATTGGCTTTCCTTGTTTGGGAAATTAGGGGCAAGTCTCCCCCACCCCCAATCCCCTTGCCCTTCTGAATCTCCACCGTCCCTCATTCTACACTCAGCTTCCATGTGTACATATTATTTAGCTCCTACTTATGAGTGAGAACACGCTTTGTCTTTCCGTGTCTGAGTTGTTTCATTTAAGATAGTGGCCTCCAATCCTACCTGTGTTGCTGCAAAACACATGATTTCATTCTTTTTTATAGCTGTTTAGTATTCTGTTGTGTATATATACCACATTTTCTTTATGTAGCCCTCCATTGATGGATTCTTAGGTTGATTCCCTATCTTTGCTATTATGAATAGTGCCATGATAAACATATGAGTGCAGGTATCTTTTTTGATATATTGATTTCTTTTCCTTTGGTAGATACCCAAAAGTGGGATTGCTGGATCATATGGTAGTTCTGTTTTTAGTTCTTTAAGAAATCTCCATACTGTTTTCCATAGAGGTAGCACTAATTTGCATTCCCACCAACAGTGTATAAGAGTTCCCTTTTCTCTGAATCCTTGCCAGTACAAGTTTTGTTTTGCATTTTTTGTTTTTGAGACAGAGTCTCGCTTTGTTGCCCAGGCTAGAGTGAGTGCCATGGCGTCAGCCTAGCTCATAGCAACCTCAAACTCCTGGGCTCAAGCAATCCTTCTGTTTCAGCCTCCCAAGTAGCTGGGACTACACGCATGCACCACCATGCCTAGCTAATTTTTTTTTCTATATATATTAGTTGGCCAATTAATTTCTTTCTATTTATAGTAGAGACAGGGTCTCGCTCTTGCTCAGGCTGGTTTTGAACTCCTGGCCTCGAGCAGTCTGCCCACCTCGGCCTCCCAGAGTGCTAGGATTATAGGCGGGAGCCACCGTGCCTGGACCTTGTTTTGCATTTTTTTTTTTTTTTTTTTTGAGACAGAGTCTCACTTTGTTGTCCAGGCTAGAGTGAGTGCCGTGGCGTCAGCCTAGCTCATAGCATCCTCAAACTCCTGGGCTCAAGCAATCCTTCTGCCTCAGCCTCCCAAGTAGCTGGGTCTACAGGCATGCACCACCATGCCCGGCTAGTTTTTTCTATATATTTTTAGTTGGCCAATTAATTTCTTTCTATTTTTAGTAGAGACAAGGTCTCGCTCTTGCTCAGGCTGGTTTTGAACTCCTGACCTTGAGTGATCCTCATGCCTCGGCTTCCCAGAGAGCTAGGTTTACTCCACACCCGGCCTTGAGTAAGTGATTTTTAAAGTGGTATTTTTTTCATCCTTCAAGTGTAGACTATCTGGGAAAGAGGCAGATAGGTATTGCTATAACTGAAGAACAAGAGACAATCATAATCTGCTAATTTCATCTCTTTGTCTAAGAAAAGAAATATTAGATGATGATGAGGGTGTCAGGATTTTTCTGAGGGTTTTCCCAAATACTACTTTCCCCAAGTCAGTCTTGGGACACTGATTAAATCAGATCAGATTATATCAAGCATATATATAGTTTTCTTGCTTCTTTGCTGAGCAATTTGAGTTTTTGATTGTCTCAACATTTCCTTCTTCAGAATAGATTATGTTGACTAAAGGGAAAAAAAAAATCAAGCTTTTAAGGAATTAAAGTTAGTTTTAATCAGAAGTCTCACTGAGAACTACAGACCGAGACCTGCAGCCTGGGAGCAGCCCTTGAGAGAGGTTCCATCACATTGCTCTGGCAGTGTTTCAGCCACTGCTTATGTACATAGGTGGGAGAGGTTCAGCACAAGAAGAGTCACATCAGAGTTTTGGTGCAGTAAAACATCTGGTTATAGAGTACAGAGGCATAATCACTAACCCCATCAGATGTCACTTTATGTGTAGGAAAAGGCCAGGGGCTAGGGTCATTTATCTTTGAAGAGATACAGTGACTCAGGCTAGAGACATGGGGAGGGACGGCATGTACCCTATCCTGTTTTGTCTTCAAAGTATCTTTCTAGAGAGCTGCAGGTTGTCACGCAGTCAGGGGCTTTGTGAAATTATGCTGGGCAAGTAGAAATGAGCAAACAGGGCTTCTTACATTTGTTACTTTGTCTCACAGTTTTTTGCCTCATCTTTGCAACACCAAAGAATGTTTTCATAAAAACAAGTAGTGTGTTAATGGTAAATTCAATCATCTATATCTAGAGAAATAGAAAAACTACATATAGCTTTAAAATGGCAAATTTCCTTACTTCTAATCCTCAAGGTTTCAAAAAAATTGAAGTTTAATTTTAACTAATGAACTCTATTATAATGGATAAAGGGTTATGATACATAGTTAATTTAAAAACAAATTAATAAATAGAAAAAATTATGACCCCAATTTTCAGGAATTATATATACAAACAGATTATTTGCTGAATAGAAAATTCTGTTTCAGATTATGTTTTGGTTTACAAAGCTGCTTTGTATTTAGTGTACATTGAATTATTTAATTGGAAGAAACTTTTAGAAATTGTTTATGTTTATCTTTATAAAAACATTTTTGAATTAGACCTCAATTTTTTTTGGAAATTTTGATGACTAGGATTGAGGAAATTGCCATTTTAAAACTCTAAAGCCAGACTACATGGGTTCAAATCCTAGTTTTGCTACTAATTAGTTCTGTGACCTGCGGCTAATAAGTATCTTTTCTGTGGCTCAGTTTCTTCATCTCTAAAATGGGAACAATTCTAGTAATTAGAAGATAAAATTGATAGAATATGCTGATGGGCTTATATGTGTGTTTGAGAGAGTGTTGGGATGGGAGAGAAGGTGGCGAGGGAGAAAGGGGTGTAAGGGGAAGAGAGAGTGTGAAAGAGAGAGAGAAGTATACATTCAAGATTTCAGTAAATGAAGGTGTCCTTTATGGAACAGAGAAAAAGATAGGAGGACAAAGAGGTTTTGGAGGGAAAATAAGTTTGTTTTTGTACAGTTAAGTTTCAGTTGCCTGTCAGCCATCCAGGGAAAGATGTGGATTAGGTAGGGGGACATACAAGTTTGGATTTTAGGAGAAAGGTCAGGGCTGGGGATAGATTTGGGAGTCATCCGTACATGCATGGCATTTGAAATCATGAGACTGGATGTGATTACCAAGGGAGTGATTGTAGTTAGAGAAGAAATTCAAAGACTGAGCCCTAGAGTGCTCTGACATTTAGATGTCAGAGAGAGAGAGGTGGGGGTGGGGAAGAGACAGAG